GGGTGGCGTTTGATGGGTTGTGGGCGGGGAGTCGATATGATAGGAATCTTGGTGTCAACATTTTTCCGTACGCGTGTGTGCGCGTGTGAACACTCCGGTTGAGTGGATGGTCAGACTGACGACATGCTTCACAAAAGAACTTCGTCAAAACTATACACTCATCTTGCTAAGTATAAGACGCTGGAATTGATAATGATAATTTGGTAATTACATAGAAATTTTTTCATAGGAGTTATGTGCAAAACTTCTAAAGTTTTAAAATTTTTAATGTAATAAAAAAAAGTTGATGGGAATGTGATGTAACACCCCAAAATTTCACAAGGGTTTTTTTGTAATTAATCCAAAGAAGTGAATATGACGTTGAGTTAATTGCGAATAAAGAACCCCTGTAGTATCAATTACTTGAACTTGCTATCCTCTAGTTTTGTTTTTCCAGATTAATCCCAAATTAAATATTTTGACACTTTTACGGTCAAGAAGAGTTTTTTTTTTTTTTTCCCCCTTCAAACACACCTGTCGAGAGTAAAAGACAAGCACACCCGTTGAGAGCAAAAGAGTAGGAGACTATCTACAAAAATTAAACTAAAAGGATAGTAATTTCTACCAGCCTATCGGCAATTACCAACGATGTAATACTAATTAGACCTCACATGCATAGAGGATAAATTGTGCTTTTTCTAATCATGCATGAAATCTAAGGAGGTTATTGGTTGGAACAAGTTGGGGCTAAGTGAGATAATTGTTCAAATGGAACAATTTTATCCCTTTGGGATATTTTGAGTGGTATAAAATGAGACAATTTTGGATAATAGGACAATTTAAAGTTTTGATTTGACAATTCATGTAGAATAATTGATGATGTGATACCTTATTAATTTACAATATTTATCTCTCAATTAAGTCTAAATTAATTTACCTAATTGGTTTAGTATTATTTGGTATGTTATTATAATATAATACATTGTTTTACTTTATACTAAAATATAATATATTATATTATAATTACTAATTAATTATAACTATATTTAATGTTATTAATTAATATATTATAATATATTATAATAATATGATACATTATATTATAATTAATATAATATACAATTAATATATTTAATATAATATTTTAATAATATATTATTTTAATCAAATATTATAATATTTAAATATATTTAAGACTTTTAATTAACATAATAAAGTATAATAGAAAATAGTAAATTATTATATAATAAATTTTATTATAATATAATAATAATATATTATATTAAATATATAATCACTATTATAATACATATTTTATATCATAAGAATACTACAATAATATTATTATTCTAACTAATAAAATATATTAAATAATATAAAGTAATATTATAATAGTATAATACTAATATTATGATATAGAAAATATTATTAACCAATATGTAATAATGATATATAATAATGTAATATTAGATAATATTATATAATATTTTATTATCTTACGTTATAATAGAATTTTGTAATATGATATAATTAAAATACATTAAACATTATAATAGAATTAACATATATTAGACATTTAATAAATTAGTGCTTTAAAATTATCCCACTTTCCTCGTGATTGTCCCAAAGTTAAGAATAGGATGGTTTTCTGATGTTGGGACAAAAAGTTTATATAAAATTGAGATAATTTTGGAAAAAATAATTGTCCCGATGAATAACACATTAAAGTAAAATCCAATCTCATTGTCCCAGTATATGACACAATAAAATAAAGTCACAAAAATTATCTCACTTACCACAAAATTACACCAACCAATAACCCCCAAAAGAAAATTAAAAATATCTCCAGAGAATATAGATCTGAATCGCAAGATCATTTCCAGTTGAAAAGTACTACAAATAAGCATCGCATACATGATCTACAACAAAAACAAAAACTTATCCGATATTTCTGCTGTCGAACAAATCCAGCACTTAATCAAGCTGAAGGTACCCCACCCAGATAGAGTCCAGGCAAATCCCTCAGACCAATACAATAATATATCCAAGATCATTTCTATAGCGATTTAAGCAAAATCTCAAAATACAGAAAGACAATATTTTGAGACAATATCATATGCGAGTCTCTTTAAGCAATGAATCACATATCAAACTCTATTTGCCATTAAAAGCATATTCAAATGGAGTCTACAGAAAACGAAGAGTGCGAATAGCAGTAACACAGCATCACAAAACCGTTATCCATAATCGAACAAAGTCCCTCGACGATGCTTATTGATTTCGGATCAGATGGAGGTTGAACGAAAGAAATGAAGGAAGAAAGCACTAAATTAAGAGCAGAGAACATAGGAATTTACAGTTGGCCACATCTTAATACAAGCAGACCCATTCTAAACCCTAAAACTAACACACCTACAATAATTACATATACATATTTTGCACCAGCAAAATAATTGAGGTACAGATCCTTATCCAGTTGCCATCGTCAAGCAAAGTGCCCCAGGAGTCCAAGACTAACACAGTCCTGCTACCCTAAAATACACAGGAAAGATAATAGAGCTTTAATTCGGTTTTAGGAGCTGATGTGCCAAGATATAGCAAGTTTCTTCCATGCAGCAGCAAAATGGCATCAAATTCAAATGACATCCAAGAGCAATGTATCTTGCATAACCCGCCTGCATTATATACCATCATAAACGGATTAGGGAATCTCAGAGTTTTAATTAGGAAAACAGTCGCAATTAAATAAGAAAAATTACTTCGTGAGTGAAGTAACTCAATCATGGATAGGGAACTATGCAAGTAAAATTTCCAAAAGCAGGTACATATGACAATGTCATACATTTCATTTGAATATAGCTTTGTTATTCATCTAGGAAGAAAGATTTTAGAAACATAATTTTATAAATTAACCCTTGGCTCAATCCGACTGGAGGAATGGATGATGGATTACATTTTCATAAACTTTGATTGCTTTGTTCTCCAATAATTAATAAATATGCCCAAAACAGTATAAATTACTTAACCAGTGGCTTCAAAAATGTCTGTAAGGCTATAAGGACATTCTACGCCTGCATCATAGAATCTAAGATACATAATAATAATCATCATCAACCTTGCTCTATGGAGATAAGACAGCTACTAGCAACCGTAAATGAAGGCTTTCGCATGAGACCCATCAAAAAATTAACACATGCTACAATCCGAGTTCAACCCTACTATACATTAAGTCAAATTTCCCATCTCAGCCTACACAAAGTCTGCAAGTGCACTACCATATGCTACAGCCACCCCAGAAGATTCAAAACTACCGAAGTGTGTACCAGTCCTAGCGTGAGCCACAAACTAGTCATTCAGCAAACTTCTCGAAACCAATCATCCATTTCATTAGATTCAAGACAATCAAGAGTTGTAGTCAGTTTTCGGATTCCTTATGCATTTAGTAGTTTCTTATTTGGAGGTATCCCTTGTAATATTGTATTTATCTTTCTTCTCTTTCTTACTGGTTTTGGAGAGAAAGAAGAAAAGGCTATTGACTACAGGAGCTGGTATTAATCTGCTATAGTAAATTCACATTTCACACACGTCCATCAAGCATCTGGAGTCCAATTGCCTTGTTTAAGTGTAGCATTCATGGAATAAATCTAATGTCACGCCTCTTTATCAATGATGTACCTTGCTGTGGCTACGGAGTTCCCTGTGATTTATACATAATTGTACATCACCTAAAATTTCATAAGCTGGTAGGCAAATATTCACCACTCATTATCCTTTTTCTACTCAAATTAGCAATTAACTACCATATCCCAAATCTGTCTTTCTTTCGGACTCCTAATAGGCTTTTAGGAAAAAGAGGGCTATAGCTCATAGTATCATAAAAGTGAACGAAGAGCGCAAATAGTTATAGACCAAATCATCATTAATATCGACGTGCAAACCAGAATATTTCACAAGACAAATTTCCAGCTGGCCGAAATGACAGAATCTATTGGAGGGTCCTCCTTCAAACTGCCACTTGATCATAAAACACATTGCAGTATGTTCATCAAAAAACAGTTTGAACAGTCTTCAAGGCATTGAATTGCAGTGTTCTACATATCAGATGTCAGCGACATGGCAGACGGAAATTCAATATTGGATGGTGGATATTGGGGGTAAATTAAAGATATTTAACAATTGGGGTGTCATAACGGAGAATGTGTATATATATCATAGGTGCTAATACTAGATAAGCCAAAGAATAGAGTTCTAGAGAAAGGTGGTATCTTTTGCAAAAACTTTTGCGAATGGTCTTAATTAAGCTCTGACTCTTCTTCTGGTTACCTTTTCATAAGCAGATATTTGTTTGGGTTTACCTCGATTGAACCATAAATGTAAACCAATCTTTTGAAACAAATGAAAGTCCAAATTGACATTGCTACATTTTAGCTGATTTGTTTAGGCCAGAATGCACTTAATACATTAGGAAATCATGATAAACGTCCACAAATCATCAAAAGTGCAAAAGGATACTGAGATTATTTTGTGTTACCGAAAAGCCTTGTAAAGGACATATCAGCTGATATAATAGCAACCATGTTAGGGATTCTCAAAACAATGTTAAATTGGTTATATTATTTATTGGAAATCTACCTTCACTCAATGATATGGTATTAGTCCTTAATCATGTTACATGCTCATTACTCTTGTCTCCAAGTCTATCGAGATATATTTATTTGGCAACTGTATTACCAGCACGACCAGTTGCTTAGGATTAAATCTTAATAACTTAAAGTATTTCCTATAATCCTCTATGTATGTGATGACATTGTTCCAAATATCGGCTGATATCTCCTTTAATGAGGCTAGCCGCAAAAAGATATGGTCTTAACATCATTTATTGCTTTACGGTTTTCTAGTATATATCCCCGACATGACCGATATATCGACCAATATGTTGGCTTATATATCCTAGCTTGTCACAAAACAATATAGTTCTGTAAAATTGCTTTAATGTTTTTAGCAAAAATTCCATCCCTATGAAGCTTGTTAGTGAATCCATTATGCACTTTTTCCTAAGTCTCTAGAATGGGTTATTGATTATAAACATATATTATTTACATTTTTGTATGCTTACATTTTATTAAATATGTTCGAATTACATTTTAGGACATTATATTACATATGCACATCATTTGATATGATACTCTGATATTTACTATACATCCTTGATATTTTCTTGATATTTGCAATCTAATATAGATTTTGGTCATCCGATATTTTCCCAATATCAAAATAATAATTAATTTTACATCTTATATGCTAATAGCTTGCTATCTTTACCCCCATGCTTTTTTTCTCTATTGTGAAGCTTAATTACCGAATCCACCAAATTTTCAACCGTGATATGTGTTACCCCAACACGATGAGAAAGGTCTCATACCTGTGTCCAATATGTATTAGGTGAGGATCCGCACCCAAACAACATGAACATGTTTGGTTAACATTTCAGGCCACGTAAGAGCCTAATAAAGCCAAAAGTGGGGTTAATTTGTCAATCGGGTTCAAATTTTCAGACCAAATAACCCAAATTGAACCAATAACCCAAATCCAATCTCCCCGATCCCTAGATTCTTAGACCACCAGGGCGTCTCCAAAACCCACAAAGAAGCCAGATCTATTATTTGGTGCTCGATGATGGTCAAATCAGCTTGACAATTGTTCACTGACATTTGAATTTAGAGAAAGTGACAAGGAAGAATATGGGTTCAAAAGAAGGTTGAGGAACAGAGTTTGGTCACTAAAAAGAAGTTGAAGAGGTGTTGTTGGGTTCAAGATAAGATGGATGGGAGAAAGAAGGATGGGCTTTGTTGGTTCTTTTTTCATGGTGATAGTGGAAAGTGATGTCATTATTGCTGCACTAAGCACCAAGGAATCTGTGATTTTAGAATAGGAATTGTGTGATAGAGGGTTTTCCTAGTTTTAGATTCAATTAGTAATGTCTAATAGGGTTTTGAAGTTAAGTGTAAATGACTTTGAATGCTTGTATATTCTTATATAGAATTTTTTTTGTTTTCTAATCGTTGATTTAAGTGTTAACAATTATATATATACAAATTTGATGTGTCTCGTACCCCCACCCCCACCCGTATCTAAGCAACCTAGACCGTGATTCACGTATTACTTTGCAAAGTGCATAGTCATATCACTAATATGAATCTATTTCTCGTATTTTAATTTGGACCCCTCCAAGCACATTGACTATCCTTATTATATAGTTACAACTTAATAATGATAGATCATGCACCTCATCCAAACATGATGCCGACGAAGAATCCTAAGGTGCTATTTTCCTTTTTTCTTTTTTTGCATCTAATGCAACACGATTTTGTCTCCCTAATAGTTCAAAACTAGATACCAAACCAAGGGGGAAACTAGATTTTGAGTAAATAACATTCGCGCTATCAAAACTTCTATAAGACAAAGCATGTTTGTTCTTTAGATATGCTAATTCCACATGGTAGCTTTCAGTTATGGATTTGCTACTAGAATTCAATCTTCATGGGATATCAATTAAATCAAATAATCCCTAAATTTCAAATAATTAAGCTACAAAGTATAGCTTGCATATATAAATTGGGTAGACCAAAAAAACTAAATTTATGAAGGAAAAAATATCAGATTTAGCTCAATGACATTTACTTTTTACCTATGTTACATGGGCACAAGTACCTAAACAGACACGAGGACGAGACAACAAATTTGTAAAAGGTAGGGTACGGCGACACCCTATATAAATATTTATATAGACATGTATTATATATACTAGAATTAATAATTTATATGAGAATAAGGATGAGAACTAAATTCCTATAATATTTTTATGTTTTTTATTATACTGATTATAAATTGGAAAATCACTAGTTTTTGAACTAGACATCCAAATGACCCTTCAGTATCATAATTCGGAACCTGATTTATGTCCATTCGGAACCTGATTTATGTCCATTCGGAACCTGATTTATGTCTAAGGAGTTTCAAGAAGTGAATGTAAAAGTGTAGGATATATGTCCAAAAAATGTACGACAAATATTTTAAATTAAAACAAGAATTGTATAATTGATTACATGCCCGAATAAATGTATGCATACATGCAAGGAGTGTCTAAGGAGTTTGTGTACGGGTTTGGGTATGGGCACGTGTCCGGTACAGGTACAACTTCAAATTAGAAGTACCCAGGTAACATAGCTTTTCACAAAGTACATTACTCTTTAGATATGGTAGGTTGCATCAAGTACATCATTGTGGTACTTAGCTGCCAGACATGTAAATTTCCATGCCAAGACTATTGATAAATATTAGATACTCTTCACTTGGCAGCTTCCTTGAAATATATACGTGATAAAATTTACATCTTTCTAGGATTTAGCCTTAAACTAGAAGGCACTCTATCAATTTGATGCAACCCAAGGCTTATAACACCAAGGAATGTCCTAAAAACATCCGAGAGCATGTATGAAAGAAATAGTTACACATAAACCAAAACCTCTAAAAGTACAAAACGAATAAAGGAACTGATAAAGGAATAAAGGAACTTGGATATGGTCTTTGTGAAGAAACATAGAAGAATAAGGAAATACGAAAGGAAAGTACGTTTGACATTCAAGGGACAAGCCAAGGTTGTTCTCTAGTCATAATTTTTGAAGTCGTCATGCCTTGTATCAATCAAAATATTAAACTATCTCCAGACCTTTACCTTCCCTGATAATGTTAATAATACTTTCAAAGAACAACAAAAGACAGTCCTTGTCAATTTTCTAATGATCATGACTTCACCCTAGTATAAAACCCATAAATGCTATACATACAGAGCCTCCGTTTTCGATTTAAATCGGTTCCAAATAATTAATAGTGAGATCCCAACATGCCATTTTCAAAAGAGAATTTACACTTTGACATTTAACAAACTAGTTACAGATATAGAAGAGAATTACGGCTTTGAAAAATCAATTTCGGGTGCTTCCATAAATCAGGACTGATTAATAGTGGAATACGCCACCAAGCCTAATAACATAACTGGCCATTGACCGGCAACAACATAAACTCAAGGAAGGTCAGTAAATGCTTGCAGTAATTCAAGAAAAAAAACTTTCAACAACAATAACAAAGCCTTTATCCTGAATTTTTGGGGTCGCCAGGTTGGGTACAAAAATCCTACTCTTCCATTCAGTTGTTCTGAGAGCTATATCTCCAGCAAGTAATCATAACAATATCCTTCTTAACAATTTCTAGCCAAGTTTCCTTACATCTATCTCTAGTCTTTTCTCCATCAATTATAATATTATTGCTTTGCCTAATTTGTGCATCTAATGACCGGAATAAACTGACAGATTTGAAATAAACAATCAGATAGATAAAAGCTATGATGTCTGGATAAATTTGATTGGACAAATCACATGACAATTTAATCTTCTATATAAGTTTAGATGCTTAATGCATCCAGATACCACAACCATCCAGGATAAGAACTATGATTGGGTGTATAATACATTCAAAGAATGAGGACTGGGTTCAACAGGCTTGCCTCTCCTCAGTCAGTAGACTCAGTACACCCATGCTTCCACATTAGAAAGATTAACCTCCACTTAAAGCCAGCAACTCATGTAAATCTATATTCAACTTTAGTTAAACTACAGGCTAGTTAAACTACAGGCTGTATCCGATAATATGTAGCCCCCCTTTAGTTCATAATTCATTAACTCATGAGCCTTCTTATTATCAACTACTTCCTAGAGAAGTAATGCACCACCTTCCAACCATAATATCACAATGTTTCTTCCTAAATAGAAAAATAATCAATCTTCACATTACCCAAAAATAACATTCCTCAACTCAAAGCACTGGATGTGGCTTCGTACCTGTAATAAGAATGTTCACATTCTAGCTCAATGGCCTGTATCTGATTCTGATGAACTATCACTGTCTGAATCTGCATAATTCCTCTTCAAGTAAGTCCACAGATCACTCTATTACAATGTAAGAATGCACAAAATTTATAAGATATGTGAATATTACCACTTGATGATGAACCAGAGTCGCTGCTGGAGCTACTTGAACTACTTGATCCACTTGAATCTTCCCTTTTATTTTCTCCCCCAATTTGGAGCGAAGAAGCCACTCCTTTACCACCTAGCAAGTTATTCAGAATTCATCAAGAAATCAATACGTGACAGTGTGACTAAATTTATCTGCTAGTGAAAATAATATAGACATTTGTTTGCACTGTATAGTTACCTGTAGTATTTCCGATGGGCTCTCCCACAATACCAAGCTCCATAACCTGCAAAAAGTTACAAAGGATTACATAAACTGGTCCAATTATCAGGGAGAAATAAGTTAAATAACACAGTTCATACCCTCTCTTGTCCTCTTTCTCTCTCTGCCTTTGCTTTTGCTAGCATAGCAAGCTCCGCCCTCCTCTTATGCTTGCTCAAGCTCTTCTTATAATTGGTCACAAACCTATCAAGCTCCCAAAGAGTCTCTGTGTCCAGAAGATCAATATCAATCTCAATCTCATCCTCCTGTGGGCACAAAACTGAGTTCCTCTTCCTGATAATCTGCACAACACCATCCAACTTCTCCGCCGGAAGAGCCTGCAAATGACCATTAAGCTTTTGCTTCTCTTCTGCAGTCATCTCCCTCTTATACAGATCCTTTGCTTTTGGCTTCGGTTGCCTCACAACTGTAGGCCGAACTATATGATGCACGATCGGGGCTGGATAATTCACTGGCTTAGTCTTTGCCTCAACTGGATAGACTGTAGAGTCTGATCTCTCCAACATCCTACCATCAAAAGGCATAGGTCTCCTCGGCACAGGAGTAGGTGGGTATGGAACATAAGCATACTCAGCCTCGATCGCAGGCCACTGCTCCTCAAATATCTGAGAAAGCTGCTGTGCCATTATGTGAACATCCTGCCCTTTCGGGTTATAGGTCATAGCATTTCGAAACGTAAGTCTCACATCCTCTGCAAACTCTGCTGGAGTCTTGTACCAATTCTTGTTCAACCGTGATTTAACTGTGCCCAAATCCATAGGATGCCTAATAATACTGTAATAATCATGTAACCCTAACGCCTTAACATCAACCGGTTTATTGAACACCCACCCAAACTTATGCTTCATCAATTTTGATAATAGAGTAGAACATTTCTTAAAAGCATGAGAATACCTCCTTTCTAAGAAGGAGTTAATTTTACCATTAGTCCTCAACTTCTTCTTGCTGCCACTGTTGCTAAATTCAGGAGGAGGGAACTTATCTTTGCCGATCAATATGAAGTCTGAGTTCTGATACAACTGATTGGCTTTTGGGGTTCTCTTCTCCTTTTCAAATACACCTCCAATTAAACTAGAATTGATCTCTGGAGCAACCGACACACTGAGCTTCCGATATTTTGGTACCCTCTGTTCCCTCTCAAAACCCTCAATCACACCGTTGCCGTTAAGATGGCCATACTTCAACACTGGCTCCCCATCCTGTTGTTCATTCTGAAAACCATCAATCACACCGTTGCCATTAGGATGGCCATAATTATCAAAACCCTCAATCAGACCGTTGCCATTAAGATGGCCATAATTATCAAATCCCTCAATCACCCTGTTGCCATTAAGATGGCCATAATTTACCATTGGCTCCTCATTGACAACCTCGACCACGCCATCATTCTTCGGCTCCTCCTCCTCAAAACCCTCAATCATGCCGTTACCGTCCATCTCCGGGGCAACTGAATGCTGAGATTGCGTGGACTCGCCGCCTCCGCTAACGCCATACCGAGATTCTATCTCCCTCAAGAAAGTGCGGACCTGCTCAAGCTCGCCAGCGAACTTTTCCCTAAGCTCCAAGATCTCATTCTTGGACTTCGACCTAAGGCAAATCTTGACGAACTCGCTGTCTTCTTCCTCTTCTTGATGTCGGTTGTTGAGGCTAAGACGATCGCGTCCGGCGGCTGACGGACGCTGGCGCACGTCATCCGCGGAGGACGCCAACGAGTGGCCCGTACGTCATCCGCGCCGGACGCGTACAGAAGCGCCGCCAACAGTCGACCCCGGCCGCACCTGTCACGACCGCGTGGAGGTTTAGGCGCGATGAGGAGGAGGAGCGCCGTCGTTGGCTTTGACTTAGCGGTTTTGATGCAGATCTTTTTCGGTGCTGGGTTAGACCTTGCTTGGAATCAGGCCAGCCAGGTTGGCGATTGACGCAGGGAACTACGGCTGACGGTGGCCGTGGTGTGCGGTGCGCGGTCGGCGTCGCCGGATTGGAGTCCCCAGGCGCCATTCATGAAAGAGGGGGGCGAGAAAACCCTAGATCGGGAGTAATTGAGTAGAGGAGAGCACGATGGGGGGTTGTTGGATTCGGGTCGAGATCTTTTTCGTTTTTGAGGAATGAGCTGGGGCGAGACCTAAAATAGGATCGGGTCCGGGGATTTTGCGAGATCCGCGAGATTGTGTCAACGTACGCACGTACGGGGTCTGAGCGTGGCTTAGGACTGGGATTCTTTATGCAATCTGGGTTTGGGATATTATGAGTTTTGGAATGGGCTGGATGTCTTACTGGGCCTAGGATTTACTTTTGCTCCTACGGTGGATAGATAGCACAACAGTATCTTTATTTGCAATTTTAAGCGGAGGAGAGTCTGTCTCTTTTGCGGGGTAAAAAAGGGCTTTTAGCCCAAATTGTTGACAGAAAATAGTTGAAAGGGATAATAAATTACGAAAATAAAATACTTTGTTAGCGATCTAACCACAAGGTACGAGAAGTTACGACACAAGCCCGAGCATGCGTAGCATAAGTGCCCTGTAATTTGACGTTTTTGACCTTATTGTAGCTGTAGTTTCGTTTTAGTACACAGACCCTCCCGAGTAGAACTTTTTACTCCCCACCCCCCCCACCCAAAAAAAAAACTAAAATTTAATTCTACTTCGGCTAAAAGCACATAGGTTATGTAACTAATGGTAAACAAGTCGAAAAATATTCACTCAGGAAGTTCGTAATTGTTCAAAATCGTCATAACTATTATAGTCAAACAAAGTAGTTCATAGAATTATTTAGTTGAAACCAGTGGCGGAGCCTCATGCAACCTATTACGGACAAATATTCCCACTGAAAAGGAAAAAAAAAACTTTGCTGCATATCAATATTTGTATTCTATGTTTTAATGAGACATAACTTTTCACCCACTTGATATTTTAAACACATGACTATAACACTACTATAGTTAATTTGTAACTCGTTTCATTATAAGCCACTAGTAACCTAAATGAATTTCTGTTTATTGTTATAATGAGATGTATTTTAAACAGAGACCTATATTATTCTATACTTGATTTTTAATTAATTGTAATTAGACTTTGATAAGGCTTATTTAGTTAAAACTCAAATACTCATTAATTAAATCTAACTTTAGTCACAATTATCTCTAATTGAATCTTTATCCATTTGTCATTATCTTGTGTGTTGATGCAAATAAAAACTTGGTAGATTGAGTCGGTAAGATTGGACTTAACGTAGAGGGTCCCTCGTGATCTCCTTAGATGGCTTATGACGATCGGGTCGTGATTTGATTTGTGTAACACGGAGAAAGTGTCTGATTGATGATGGTGAGCTGTCCACCAATGCCTCTCTGATGCCTAAGTAAGACTCTTGATAATAAAGATCAAAGTGATAGATATGTAGGTTAGGATATAGAATAGGGTTCATAGATTGTTTTTTTTTTAAGCTGAACCTATCAAAGAATATGAGATGCCTATAACTCTGTGTGAGCGAGATAGGTATAGTAGTTACTCAGTCTGTGAGTGAGCCTACGCGGTCTGACCTGATAGGCTCCCAGGAGGTCACCCATTCTAATGCTGCTCCTAACCGTGCATGCTTAACTATGGAGTTCCTAATGGTTCCATTGTAGCTAAGTTGTAATGGGAGTTGGCAATCAGAGAGATCGGTCATCAATTTGATATCTCTTAACATGGTATGTTGAGGATACAATATGATTCAAATCAATCTTCTTCAATTAAGCAAATCCCTATAAGATTCGGTCAGGCTGAGCAAGACATTGTATCTGAACTGAGGTGAGTTCAGGTGTCATGGGCCTTAGTTGTCATAGTATGCGGAGGTATCCCACACTAGTAAGTTAAATGGGTTTAACTTTTGACCGAACCATTTTGCTGATGAAGCATGAGCTAACTAGCCCATTTACAAAAGCCAGGTTGAAATAAATATGCATAATGGAGGCGTGGCTTCAAGAGGACCAAAGGAGCAATAAGATATTGGTGAAAATAGGTAGACTTTATTTGTTTGTAATAATTTAATTGTTAAGATTTCATTAAAAAATTTGGGCAAGATGGTCTATTTGAGTTATTTTTAAAAGGATATTGAAATCTAACAGGCTTCAATATATGCAAATGTGATGATTAGAGAGGATATCTTCAAAACATATCTTACAGGCCTCACAACAATAACTTCCCCAAACAAATTAGATGAGTTTAAAAGAAAATTTTGTCCTTGTGTTCGAATTGGGGAATTTCACCCTGACTATCTCATGGATCCGGACCCCATCACTAGTTGAGATAGAATAGTGCCCTGAGAAGCATAGCAGGATCCACCTTGACCAAAGCGGGTCACATCGCTCCACTTTGGTCAGGAGGACTAAGAGCATCTCCAACCCAAAAACCTAAAATGGTGTAAGTTTTACACCAAGTTGGTGTAGTTTTTATACCAAATCACTATTTCATCCCCAACCCATTACGCCAAATTTTACACCAAAAAGAATATTCCTTTTATTATTCTTATCTTTAATATTTTTATCTATTTAAAATATTTAACAAATTATATAATTATATAATACATTACATATAATTAATTATACATTACATATCAGATTCAGTAAGTGGGTTTTTTTCCTAATCAACGAAAATGCATTAACTACGAAGGCGTGCTTCCCCCTCCCATCCTCGATCTTCAGCACGAAATACCTCGTTGAATCGAGCACGGTCTCCACCGAGCTCTCCCTCTGTCCGCGGAGCACGAAGCAGGCGGCGAAGAGATCTCCGGAGTTGGGATCCTCGCAGCGGTGGTGGCAGGAAAC